CTCTTATTATCACATAGCTCAGAAATTTCTTGTCATGCCTCTTATTTAACAGATCCCGAACCCTCTGTGACTTCTGGTCCGTCATGCTCTGAAGTTTTTTGAAAATCATCCAATGTGAGAACCATATTTAGATCCTTCCTTAATCTAAACTTGAGATCTATGAACTTAAATAGCTTACTTGAAGATATGAAGACCAAGATGTTGTGGCCTCTGGTATGGTAGCAGTCTCCTTTCAATTTATAGAAGTGGCTTGACCTCGTTGTCGCAACTTGGTCTTGTTGTCAGGGCGACTATGTAGAACGCACCTAGTCCGAAGTCGTGTGACAACTACTATGGCGGACAACTTGGGACTAGGTGCGACTCTCAGTCTCGTAACTTTCCTGTAATTTCTTGACGGAGGCGTGATAAAGTATGTCATCAACTATGTCCGAATGACACTCCCTCATTAGATTGCAGAAACGGAGAACGATACCATAATGTTTGCAACAATTCAAAAAGGCCAAATGGCTTGTTTTATTGCACGCCACTGGAAGCCTGATCATGTTGTACCACTTTTCCTCACGATTGCCCGCCTCCGTTGGCCATTTTCTTTGACGTTTACGTAAGGGATCATGGCCGATTGGGTACCGGTGAGGCATGCGCAAGTTAAATGGAGAAGGAGGCTTTGGTAGTTCCGTATGGCTCGCTGTAACAGGAATGAGAAAAAGAATCTTCAACGTTGTTAGGGTGCACTGAAGGACAGCAATTACTCTGACTACCTTCAAAATGGAGTAGACGGGCTTCCAGCAATCCAACTGAGTGAGACCCAATTTCGGCAGACAACTTTTCTCCACATCAATGACCATCAGACAATTCACCAGATTAACACACTTTAAGATTGATTTCAAGAATGCGACTTCTCGCCACAGTTGCTAACCAGTCTTCAGGTGGACTCGGCGATGCAGCTTTGTAGATTAGCAAAATGTTGAGAAATGTAGGCCGATATAATCAAACCTTTCTATCTGAAGAAAAGCGGCGTTTAAAAGACTCTCTGAATGGTTTAGTTTGAGTCTAATTTTAACGTCAAGGTTGAACTTGGCTGGATGGAATTGGTGAATTGATGCTACCGAAATCAGAAGAAGTCCTGCGACTCCGACAGACGAAGACTCAACATAAGTTAATCGGAGTGAGGCGAAGGCATCTTAGGAATACTTCTTCAGTTTTCCGTGAGACGAATTCACGAATTCCTTTTAGTAAACTTTTCTCAAAAAGTTAATTGTCCAGTTACAAGTAAACCTTTTAAAGCTCGCCATCGGTTTTCAGCAACATGTGTCCAGCTGCATGGAAACGTGTATGGAGCTTCGATGATGTGGTTGAACGTCAGATCGGCTTCCGACCTTTTAGATGCTCACCAACCTCGAGGCCCGGTTCAAAGTGGATCCACCTAAGTCTCCTTTCGCTGTGCCATTTGCAGGCGGAACGCTTAGTTCTTGGGCATCTCCAGCAGAGCCAATGGTATTCGGCAACTTAAATTGATGCAAATGAGGCAATGATTTGATTGTGCAAAAG